ACACATGGTGTGGTTTTATTTATTTCACTCTTATAAAAGATACTTAAGTAAACAGATCACACAGAATTGATGTTCAATAAAATTTATTTCTGTCAAAGTACAAAAAATGTTAACATTACTCTAATAATGCTACATGAAAGGTGAATGATAAAAATACACTGTATACGAATAGTGATGCTTATTTCTCTTAATGATGTACATTAAACATTCTAGAGGAATTACATTTCTTTGTAAACCTATAAAATTGTAATCATTTGTGTTTGAACCTCACTGCAAAATAACCACACCAAAACGGCCACACTCTGTTGCTGATTCCATGACAGGCTTAGATTTATGATTAGATTTACTTAGATTCAAGTTCTGCTAAACTGTCAGATTGGGTCAAACGATAATGGATGTCAGCATCTTGCAAACTTTTTTCTGTAGCAAACAGTTGTTAATGTTTGCAGATGGCAATCTATATAAAGTATGAAAAACAGATAAAGTGGATATAATTTACGATAAGGACACATTTTCACTCTGTGTCATCATACTGCGGCTCAGCTCTATGACCTGAAAATTTTACTTGAAACATCAAAACAACTAAATTGCCAAATAGGACCTTTAATGGAAACATCTATTTCTTTTGAATTTTGCAGGTAGTTACCCTTATTATAAAGAACTCTAACAAACTTTATACTTGACAGCAGAATGTTTGAGGAAGCAGTGGCGGAAATCTTGGTGGGGGGGGCACCTTCCAGAAAATTGACGAATTTTCAGAAATTTTGATCTAAGAGGGCTAAAAACAGTCTTTTCGAGTGCAAACGGGGGGGGGGGTATTTCGGAAATTTGAAAGTGTTGTTGGAAATTTAGGAGGCTCCCCCCCCCGGAAAAAGTGAGTACTGAATATTTGGATATGCATAGCACCATCATCCCAGAAACAGTTCTTCACATTATAGACATTATATAACCCATTGAGCCACAATGTGCCCTACTTATTTTTTATTTGTCTAACGCCAGACGATTTTACTCATCAGTGGGGAAGCTTTGCAGCTTAATGGGTTAACCAAAAAATCTGACAATGTCTCTAGCTAACCCATTGAGCCGTAATGCGCCCTACTTTTTTTTACTTGTCTAACGCCAGACGATTTTACTCGTCAATGGGGAAGCTCTGCAGCTTAATGGGTTAAACGATGGCCACTATCCAACATGTGTTCCTGCTGTTCCATACTGATACATTGGATCTGTTTTGATAATTGATATGAATTCAGTAAGTGCCCTATCTTTCTCAAAGGTCCATTTATGATATTTTACTGGGGACTTCGTTATAGGAGTCTGATAAATCTTTCTGCTAGGAAAGTACAAAATAAACAGTGTAAACTTCAATATTTAAATCGGAAATTGCTCTTCAGTTGAACAACAATCTTCAGTCGTACTGTATTTTTATTATATTTTACAGTAATATTGTAATCCAGGATTCTGAAACACAGTCAGTAGACTCAGTACAGTTAAATGTGGAAATATGTATGCGTTTGTTCAAAAGAATTTGAAGAAAATAGTGATTCGTACTGTAGTTTTTACTTCGCGCCAAATGATAACCGCGCGGTCAATTCCCGCCCTCAGCGACGAGCTCAGCGAAAGAATGGCATATTGTAAACACTGGACTGGACTTTGGACTGGACTTTGGACTATGGACTTTGGACTTTGGACTATGGACTTTGGACTTTCGATTTTGGACTTTCGATTTTGAAATTATATTATTTTTAATATTTTCGTATAATTATATTAAAATCTAAACAGAGAACGAAAATTTACTGCTGAAAAGCGTGCTACACTGCATCTATAATATACAAGGTAAAAAGTACTCAGTATCAGTTATATAGGTATGCCAGCAGTGCAATTTCATACGGATATAGTCTGTAGGATAGCAGGATTATCCAATATTTTGGGATTTAATGTTTAAATTTTATATAATATTTGTATTTATAGTATGTATAGTACAGTTTATACTGCAGAACTTCTTCCAGTTTATCATATAGATAATAGATTAATTATAGAAACAATTGTGACAAAAGTATCTCGGCAAATACAAAATATTGAGAAACTATAAACTATACAAGCAATTATAATATTGCGCCTATTGAGTATTGTATTATGTATGTATAATATTGACTGTTCATCTTTGCAAAATAGTTTAAACTATAGTACTGTATTGTGTAATTGTTTACTCCGTTACACGGTAACGTTTTGTTAATGTTACTTATTTTTGAAAGACATTCTTTACAGGGCCTTTTTTAACATACAAGCTGGGGGGGAAAATGCCCCCCCAGTCCCCCCTTGTGCCCCCCCCCCACGAAATCACATTTTGCCCCCCCTAGGAAAAGTCCCTTTTTCCTAAATGTATACCAAAAAAACAGCGAAGAATAACAAATAAATAAACGGAAAGTAAATTTTAGGCTTTGTCTTTTGTCCTTGTTTAACAAAATCGATCTAAATTGTTACGTTTTTCTACCACTAAGTAATGATAAATTATTGTTAATAATTTTTTTATTTTTTGGTTGCTCAGAATGCAGGAAAGAGCATTTCCAGGTTTCAAATTCGAAAAATTTTCTGGAGATTATGCCCCCACACACGTGGCCTTCGGCCATTGGTATCCCCCTCTAATAAGAATAATGATAAATTACGGTTAATATTCTTTTTTACTTTTTGTGCATTTTTCCCTTCTTTTATTTCAAATACAAGTATAGTTAGCATAAATTTTAGAGCAAATTTGGATGCTCAGAATGCAGGAAATGGCATTTCCGTGTTTCAAATTTCAAAAATTTTCTGGGGGAGTACACCCACACACGTGACCATTGGTATCCTCCTCTAATAAATAATGATAAATTATGGTTAATATTTTTTTTTACTTTTTGTTGGTTTTTTCCTTATTTTATTTCAAATACAAGTATAGTTAGCATACATTTTGGAGCAAATTTAGTTGCTCAGAATGAAGGAAATGGCATTTCCGTGCTTCAAATTTCAAAAATTTCCTGGGGGAGTACACCCCCAGACCCCTCATTCATGCGTACATGGTGTGTTGGTCACACACGTGGCCTTCAGCTATTGCTATCTCCCTGTAATATGCTATCTCACAGAAAGGTCCCTTTTCAAAAAATGCCCCCCCACGGGAAAATCCTTAAAAAAGGCTCTGATTCTTTAGCTATCCTTATCGCTATGTAAGTGCTTCAGACTTCAGTTATTATTAATAAGTGTTAGTCAAGAGTGGACAGGAATATTCGAACGGAAATTTACACACTTTTGAAAACCTACTCATGTGCGTGTGAGAAAGTAAAAATCTATGTCTATGTGCTTCAGGTAGTCTAGCAACTATTTGCCACGTTTACTGTAAATATACTACTCATTCGTATTTTATAAAGTATGATGACTATGAGAGTTTTCGTGTTCACTATACCTATGGCTATGGCTGAAATCCGCTGAATACATTCATGAAAAGCTAAAACTGACACCGGACAAAATACATTGCAAACACAGCCTATTTAGGCAGGCGCTAAACGGGTGCAAAGATGAACAATACCGGCATTAGTATTTTTGCGCAAGTGAATAAATATATAACAAATCCTACAAGTTGTCAACTGTCAAGACAAATTCCCCGATTATCACGGCCTCGCCTTCGGCGAATAATTCAGTTAAAGAGATACATATAATACAGTCAATAGGCGAAATAATAATCGCGTGTAGTTTATACTTATATAGTTTCTCAATATTTTGTATTTGCCGAGATACTTTTGTCACAATTGTTTCTATAAATCTATTATCTATATGATACTGAAGAAGTTCTGCAGTATAAACTGTACTATACATATACTAGCCTATAAATACAAATATTATAATAAAATTTAAATATTAAATAAAAAATATTACTGAGATAATCCTGTTATCCTACAGGCTATAGTATATCTATGAAGTTGCACTGGTATACCTATATAACTGATAGTATTTTTTACCTTGAATATTATATCATGCATATGCAGGCAGTGTAGCACGCTTTTCAGTAGCAAATTTTCGTTCTCTGTTTAGATTTTAATATAATTATACGAAAATCTTAAAAATAATATAATTTCAAAATCGAAAGTCCAAAATCGAAAGTCCAAAGTCCAAAGTCCATAGTCCAAAGTCCAAAGTCCAAAGTCCAGTCCAAAGTCCAGTCCAGTGTTTACAATATGCCGCGAAAGAATATAGCAAAAGTACCCCATTTTCAAACCGCGATTACTAGTCGATTTCGTCGAGCTACTTTGAGTTTTAAAGTACGAATGGAAAGAATAAACTTTCCTTAATTCTCTGACGTGTTTTATTTTAATTTCCCATCAAAAAAATGAAAGTAGCTTCTGCATTTTTTGAAAGCCACTTTTGTGGCGTGTCCACTGACCCGAATCAAGCATAAATACAATACGTAATTAACTTAACTAAAAAGCAATTTCTGTACCAAACAAGTCGAAAATAGTTTAAGTAGGTTATTAAATAATAGCGACCTTAAGCAAGCGACGTTTTTGACAACACGAACGGCATGAGTAACATTAAAAGACTGGGTCAAGAATGTTGATTGGTTGATAACGTCAAATTTGCTTCCGGTCAACGTTCGTGTTGTCAAAAACGTAGCTTGCTTAAGCCCGCTAATACAAATATAAAAACATACCTTCGAAAAAATGATGTCTTCAAAGATAAAAATCGCAATATATTTCAACAACTTTTCACTAAACGTTTGTCGGAAATCGCAATTGTGAATAATAATGAGACGCAATGCATGCCGGTATAGTCACCCAACCTCCTCTGGTTCAATCTCGTTCCCCGAGCATGCTTAAAGGTCAATGACAATGACATGCAAGTGACATTTAACATTGCGTCTCACTAATTAAAGTTTGCGTGTTTAATAATGTTTATCAAAGAAAGCAAAAATATATACAAGACAATCTCACATGTGGAATTTGTTCACTTACGTACTGCCTTGTGATGCAGTACAAGTATAAATACAAATGACAAAGCATTTGTAAATCCTAAAACATAATTAAATCATACGGCACATTCAAGATTTTATTAAATATCGTATTTCAGCCGCGTTTATACTGCTTGGCGCATTCGCTGCATTATATTCATTTATATACACAGAAAAGCATCAAGCATGTCATTGTCCTTGCAGACCATAGGCAAAAAGCATTTGTCAACCACATACCAAATTTAAGCAATCGTTAAATCATAGACATGTCATGGAAAGAATATGGAAATAATGTTGAATGAAAGCTAGCATCGCGTATAATGTTAAAAGCACCGCATATAGTGCTCGAACCACTGCGTATATTAATTGCAAAAGCAACGCGTACATAAATGGTGAAAGCGTATAGTGCCTTAGTCTATCCATATCTGATTTATTGCAACTTAATATGGGGTAACACATACAAAACAAGAATTCAAAGGTTAGTAAGCATCCAAAAAAAGATAATGAGACTAATAACATTTAATTCTTATTTCGAACACACAGAACCAATTTTTAGAGATCTAGAAATATTAAGCATTGAACAAATAAATTGCTACCTCACCAGTATATTTATGTTTCGATATAATCATTCAGAAAATCTACCCGAAATATTTAACAATTATTTCACAGCTAATTATGAAATTCACGACCACAACACAAGAAGTGCATCTCAACTTCACACAACTTTCAAAAGAACTAACTATGCAAAACATACTCTTGCTCACAAAGGAATAAATGTTTGGAATGTTCTCTTAAATAAATACAAAAATATTAAATCTTACACCTCTTTCAAAACATGTATTAAAAAACACTTGTTATCAAATGAAAACGAAATGCAAATTGCATTGATATAAACTGTCCTATTTGTACATATAATTACCTTTATTTACTGATTATGAACTGATTATCTTTAGTCTATAACAAATGATGTTTCTGTAAATATAACATAGTCTAGGGGTCTTAAACAAAAGCCTTACAGGTTTCTAGTAGGCCCCTAGCCCTACTGTAATAATATACCGAATCGTTCCGATATACACTCACAAATAATTAAACATAAAAACCTTATTTATTAAAGCTCGAATAATCATATTATAACGACATAAAGTTAATGCTCACGAAATAAAATAACAATATATTTTCTCTCAACAACAACAACAACAACAACACGAGTTCGTCACGTGATCTAGTTCAGGGGGGTTCTATCAACCTAATTCCGCGGGGGGTTAACCCGCACACACTCCCCTATAAAAATGTCAATTGTTCATTTTTATATTACAGTTCTCTTCCTAGTCAATTGTCTTCTTCATCCATCGCGATAATTTTAACGAGTTCTTTAGCTCTCTTTGCTGCATCTCTGGTTGGTCTTTGATCTCTGGTTTCCCTTTCGTCTTCTGCTTCGAGATTGTCATGACGCTCTACGTCCATCAACACGGTTTCCAACTGTTCGAAAGTCAGGTGAGTTTTCCCTGAGGTCTTGTATAATGTCTTCTTTATCTCCCTTATCAGACGTTCATAAAGTCCGCCCCACCACGGCGATTTAGACAAGTTAAATTGCCATGTAATTGACTGAGACGCTAAGTAATCGTTCAGTTCTTCACTTTTCCTGATCTTCTTTATCCAATTTGCGGTTGCTCGAAAGGTTGCTGCGTTATCCGATATGATTCTCCGTGGTCGTGTCCGTCTTGCTATGAACGCGTTCAGTTTCTGTTGGAATTCTTTAGCTGTCTGGGATCTTGTAAGTTCTAAATGCACCGCTCTTGATGTTGCACAGGTAAAAATTAGAACGTAAGCCTTGTCTTCCCTTTTCGATGTCCGATAATAGATTGGCCCTGCGAAATCCACTCCGGTACGCTCAAATGGTCGACTCACTTCAGTGCGAAACGATGGTAGAGCTGCAGTTTCTGTTGCTCCGTACGGCTTGGTTGAGAACACCTTGCACACGTTGCAGTTGTTTATGTATTTCTTAACCCGACTTCTTAAACGAGGTATCCACCATTCTTCTCTGATACTGGCCATAGTATGAGCTACGCCAAGGTGGTTATTCTTCTCATGAACGTGTTGAATTAACTTTGTGATGAACTCTTCATTCTCCAAATAGATCGGCTTGTAATTCGCTATTCGTCCTTCACATCTGAGGATTCCCGTGTCAACGTCCTTCGTCAATTTAAATTGTGGTTCACTCAAATCTTCTGGAATGTATTTCTGGCTCCTCCGTACCAGATGATTTCTCGCGGTTATCATTTCAACAGTCGTCAATGGACCGGAACGTTTCTTTTGTCCTCTACGCTTCGCTAAGCTGTTGTCTGCATACCGTAATGCCCAAGCTACGACTCTGATGGTACTCCAATACGAGCGTCGCGCCAAAAGATCGTCCCATTCATCTCGTTGGATTTCAGTCACATGGCCCACTAGCTCCTTTTGTGGTTTCTCTTCTTCTTCGATTTGGGGTGTCTTCCTTAACATTGGCTGATCTGGCCATTCGCTGACCTCATCTAACCAATCCGGCCCCGTAAACCATCCTTCTTTGATCATCTTGTCAATAGATGCTCCTCTGCTCCCCATATCAGCATGATTCTGACCAGTCGGACAGTATCTCCAATCAACTTTAATGTCCTTCGTTGCTTCGGCTATCTTTCGCACGCGGTTGGCAACAAAGACTTTCCATGGTCGCTCAGGATTTGTTATCCAGTACAATGCAATCATACTGTCCATCCATATTGTCACTGAAAGTATAGGTAAATGTCTCAACGCCTGACATACGTTTTTCACCATATTCGCTGCCATGTGCCCGCTGACCAATTCTAACCGAGCAATTGAAAGGTTTCGTTTCGAGATTCTTGATTTCGAACACAGAAGGCCTCTTATCACACCGGTTTTCCCTTCGACTAGAGCAATGGTTGCAGTAGAACAGGCAAGATTGCTGGCATCTGCGAACTGGTGGATATGGATACCCTTCGTTCTTCTGCACTCTTTCAGGATACTCCTCGGAACTTTAACATTTCGCAATTGTCCCGTCCATCTGAACCATTTTTGTTTCAGTTCTGGTGACACTTCTTCATTCCAGCTGGCTTTCTCTTCGCATATCTCTCGATAAATGTGTTTGCCGGTTGCTAACGTTGGCGACAAGATACCCATGGGGTCATAAATGCTTCCCAGATGGCTTAGCACAGTCTTTTTTGTTACTGGTTTACTTTGTGGGAACTCTGGCACGGTCACTTCCAGGGTGTCTTCTCGTTTGTCCCAACCATGACCCAGAATTTTACTCGGATTAGGCGTGTCCTCCCCATCCAACTCCTCGACATTTGACTCCCATTTGTGTAGGGGAAATTTTGCGTCTTCCAGAATACAAGTGGCTTCGACTTTGAACCTTTCCAAGCCTTCGATATCTTCACTAACCGTCATAAGATTGTCTACGTAGGTATTATCTCTCAAAGATTGAACGGTTTCTTCATAGCAGGGTGGTTGCTGGTTGTAATGATGCTGCAATGTCGCACCGAGAATAAAGGGACTAGCCTCTGCTCCAAAGGGGACTCTGGTGAATCTGAGATGTTCATCCTTGCCATTGATGTTGAAAAGGAATCTGAATGCATCCCTGTCCTCCTCCTTTATACCAATTTGGTGAAATGCCTTCTGAATGTCAGCAAGGAGAATGTTGGTACACATTCTTGTACGTATCATAATGTCCCATAAGTGTGGCAGTAGAGGGGGTCCAGTGTGCATGCACTCATTAACACTGCTTTCGAGGGGCTTTGGCTTTGCACTGGCATCAAATACCATACGAATCTTCGTTGTCGTTGCACCTTGTCTTATTACAGGCTTATGAGGCATGTAGAAGATTCTTTTCCCAGTTGGTTCCTCTGGGGCAAACTCGACAATTCCTGTGTCTAACTGCTCTTCCACTATCTCCTCATAACCTTTGGATAATTCAGCGTCACGGCTTAATCTCTTCTCGACATTTCTCAGCCTGCGCCTACTCTGTTCTAAATTAGTCTCTCTTAACTTACTTCCTTCGATCCACGGAATATTAACTTCATACCTGCCGTCTGCTTTCCTCGTAATATTTTCTGTAAACTCCAGCAGCACTTCGTCTTGGTCATTCTCTTTCCGGTCTTCAATTCCAAGAACATCCAAACTGTATAATCTTTCGTAGTCCGCAACTTCAGTGGTAAACAGGCATTCATCCACTGGATACTCACCACCATGGATCACCCACCCAAATGTGGTTCCTTCGACGACTGGCTCGTTACTTTTCCCTTTAAATATTTCTTCCGTTTTAATCTTGCAGTAAAGATTGTCACCAATTATCAGATCGATTGGATATTTGTTGTCCTTTGTCACATAGAATTGTTTGTCCCTTGCATGCGCAAGTTTCTCCTTCAGTTCACTAATGGTTGGTCTCTGGATCGTTGTGAAGTTTGGCATTTGTGATCCAGTAACTTCGATATTTTCCACTTGCTCCCCATTAATTGAATGAATCTCTACATTATAGACTGGTAGGGTTTGTTCCTTTGAGCCATTAAGGGTCACAATTTGTCGGACTTCATGGCGTGTCGGCACCATATTTAACTTCTCCATAGCATTGCTTGATATAAAGTTCCTCCCTGACCCGGTGTCAAGGTAGGCCCACAGTGTTTCTTCCTGAATTTTTACAGGAATAATGGGTGGAAGTGCTTCTTTGTTATCGGTGTATGCATGCAATACCAGGTCCGGATTCTTCCTTCGGTCGCATAAACTAGTGTGATGTCTTCCTTGGCATGTGTGACATCCTCTGCTCTTACAATTACTGGCTCTGTGGCCTGGAGACCCACAGTTAAAACAAAGCTTGCATGCAACAAAGAATGCTTTCCTCTTCTCCTTTGTATCTTGGCTAGGACAGTTATCAGACCAATGGTTTTCCGCACAAAATAAACATTTTCTCTCCTTTGATTTCTTCTCACCTTTCTGTGTCCACCACTGTCTCTCTTTTCCAGGGCTCTCTGATGGCTTGGATGTTTCTGCTGTCATCTTGTTTCGCTTTAACCATTGTTGAAGGTTGTCAAGTAAATCTTTCATGCACCAGCTTTCCCATTCATTATCTGTGCGCACCAAATCTGATTTAATATTTGGCAGTTTATTTAATGTCGACAGTACAAATCCCTTTAACATATCACTCTTTCCCAAAGTTTCTAGTGCATCAAAACTTTGACTTGCTTTTTCATAGAATTCTTTTACTTTCTCATAACTTGACCCCTTTACTACTGGCAAATTAACAATGGCATCCATATGGGCATTCACAACTAATGTTGTGTGACCATAGTCTCTCTTAAGTCTGTCCCATGCAGTATTATACCCTGATGTACTAGGCCTTAAATTACTGATTCTTTCTCGTACCTTTGGATTGACCATTTCTAATAAATAGCCAAATTTCTCTTCGTCGCTTATTGGTTTGTCGTGTACTTGCGTTGTGAACATATTTTCAAACCTAATCCAATCGGCTGGTGTGCCATTGAATGGAGAAATTCGCAATTTTGGTAATTTTGCCTGTGTAGATTTGGCCTTGTTTTCCATTTCTAAACGTTTCTCAGTTGCTATCATTTCGTATTTTAACTTTTCTTCGAAAAGTTCTCGTTCTTTCTCATGTCTCTCTCGCCTTAAACGTTCGTCAATTTCTTCCTGTCTGGCTCTGGCTTCGTCTTGTTGCCTCTCTACTCTCTCTTGTTGTCGTTTTTCTGCTTCGATAGCTTTCATTTCTTCGTATTGTTTTATTTCTTGATCTCTCTCACGTAAAGCTTCGATAATCTTTTCTCTTTCCTCAAGTAACGTCGAATAACTTGATTTAACATCGTTTCTCCACTGTCTCACGCCTCGAGGTGTCATGTTAAGCTCTATTTTTAACTCCACAGCATTCAATATAATATCCGTTAAAGTTTCGCAAATTGTCGCCGTTCTTTGCGCAACAATCGCCATTTCTTCGTAGTCTTTAGACTCTATTAACTCATCGGCTGGTTCTAGATAATATTTCAATTTAGAAATCTCCTTCTTGATACTGTTTTCCATTCGCGAAATGTCTTCGTTTGTTTTGCTCGCCTCCACTTCCGCCATTGTACGCTCGCTTCCATCGGTGGTTTCTACCATTTTAAATCGACTTTAAATCCTGGTCACGGCACCATTATATACCGAATCGTTCCGATATACACTCACAAATAATTAAACATAAAAACCTTATTTATTAAAGCTCGAATAATCATATTATAACGACATAAAGTTAATGCTCACGAAATAAAATAACAATATATTTTTTCTCAACAACAACAACAACACGAGTTCGTCACGTGATCTAGTTCAGGGGGGTTCTATCAACCTAATTCCGCGGGGGGTTAACCCGCACAATAATGAATTAGTAAACTTTTGTAAATATTATTAACATTTTTTTGGGCGAAATTAAATAAAATAAAATAAATAAAATAGTGCGGGAACCACCGCGTATAATGCGGGAACCACCGCGTATAGTGGCGAAAGCACCGTGTATAATGCCGAACACCATGCACCGTATATAATGCTAAAAGCACCCAACAAAATGCCGTTTGATCACTTTAAGCCAGCTATGGCTTTCCATAAACTGAGAAGACCAAAGATGAAAGATGATCACATTGTCTGTTTGCCTTATGCCTGACCGCGCTGCACCACGGTTAAAATTCACTGGTACCGTCATGCAATGCGCCAAATGAAACATTTTGATTTCGACCCACAAAACAAAATTAGGATCTGCTGCCTTGCTCGCTCGCTTCAGGCTCGCTCGCTGCGGCAGCAATAACATGTAATATTATACCTCAAAGTGTCCAATCAGAAAACTAAGTTTGTTGGCGCCACGTGAGCGTGAAATCTATCATCGAATCGCGCCTCACGTCATCGTATTTGACGTAAGCAGGTGACTGGCATATCACATGGCGATTTGATCATGTCACTCGCGTGATTCGAATGAAAAGCGACGATACTTGCGTTAATCCAAAAATAAAACATCGTTAATACAAAAATAAATATCATCACTTCGGGTAACATTTCGCCGAATCCCACTCGCTTCAGGTTTATAAATGACAATTATTTGTGCTTGAGTAGTCATGATGAACTCACCATGAACAGCACTTGGTAAGTGTAAGGTATGGTAATAGGCTCAGTTCCTCCTGCTTTGATACCAAATGGTTGCGAACATGATGGATCTTTACATGCATCTTTACAACTGAAAATAGAACCCAAAATTTTCGCCATTTGTCATTTAATACGACAGACCGGACAATACAATACAATACAATACAATACAATACAATACAATACAATACAATACAATACAATACAATACAATACAATACAATACAATACAATACAATACAATACAATACAATACAATACAATACAACAGCACAGCACAGTACAATACAACTTTATTTTAACAGGGTAAAATCTTCAGTACATTAAGTACTATTTAAAGCACGAGTAGGAGACGTGTTTTATTACATATAAAACACGACGCGTAGCGGAGTGTTTTAAATGTGATAAAACACGAACTACGAGTTTATTAAACAGCTTCAAAAACGTCTCAGTTAGATCATGGCATTGGCGAAATGATTTTCCAAAATAACTTTGTATTAGCTGAGAAAATACAAGTTGACATTTGAAGCGTATTTTATCACATATAAAGACACGCCACGCTTATGATTTCTCTTTGTGTTTTCCTCATGAATTGTTAATGAGTTTTTGAATTAGATATAGAAAAACTAATTACAACTTATTTCCAAGATTGCCGTGTGGGAGTCATTTTACAAATTATAGTAATAATTAAGGAATTCTTAAATAGTGGTAACGAACGAAGCATTCGTATATTTTGGGGCAGATTATTCCATAATAAGGCTCCACTATAACAAAGGCTTCGTTTTAAATAGTTAGTTCGCGGCTTGGGCAAATTTAGCTTTATTTCAGAATTTCTTAAGTTGTACCCACTGCCGTGAACAGAGAAGAGATTTTGTGGGTAAGATGGTGCATCACCATTGAGTATTTTAAACATAATTCCAGCCTTAATCTTTTTGCGTCGTAAACAAAGATTGTCTAGGTGCAAATTATTCAAAAGAGAACTAGCGCTTGTATCATAGTGCGACCTCGTAATGACTCTTACTGCTCGGTTCTGTAGTTTCTGTATTTTATTACTGAGAGTTTCTCCAAAACCGTCCCAGACCGAGCAGCAGTAGTCAAAATGAGGTTGTATCAAGGCTTGATACACCTGAACAGCTGTCCTCCTACTTACAAATGGTCTAATACGTATTAATGCACCAATGCCGCAATGGCTGAAGCAATTTTCGTAGTTAATTTCTCAATATGGGTTGACCACTCTCTCCTCCGCAGAGGCTTTAGTTTTCTTAGTATTTAATATGACGATGAGATACATTTCACTACACTTTACATGGCGGATCTGGGAACACGAGCGTAGCCGCTGGGCGAAGGAGCGCAGGCGGCAAGGGAAAAGACGAGGGAAGGCGCGAAGCCTCTGCACGATTTGCATGATTGCATCGCAAAGTGGGACAGAGTGTAAACATCGAAACAAAAGGTGATTTTTAAGCTAAATAACATACGCCTTTTTGAAAATTAAATCATTATTTAATGCATGATTGATTGACCTCATTGACTAGTGCTTGCATCTTTGTGGATGGTCAAAAGTAATAAGATTTTTTAACATTACATAAAACAACACAATCGTATATTTTTTTCACCGCTTGGCCAAACATTCTGTATTTCGCATCGAGGAAAACTTGAATTCTTCGGAATTCGCCACCAGTCAAAGAAGTAAAATACTCCTTGTATTCAAACGCTTTCGTGTAGAAAATTTCTTTTGAATACGGACAGTAGAAATATTTGTTTTTAATTTTTCAAAATATCGGGTTTTTACTCGCACAGTCGCACGCGCCTGTCACACGCTGAAGTTCGGGAATTAGTTCACAATCAGACCAGAAATGGAAATACCATAATAAAAGATGCAGTTTTCAATACAAGCTCAAAAATAACACTCTAAATCATAGGCGTACGGGACGGGGGGCGGGGGCAGGGGGGGGGCAGCTGCCCCCCCCCCCAGATTACAAAGTCGAAAAGTAGTCAAAGCAATAAAATTTCTCTTAATAATAACCCCAGTTTGTTGGGCAAACAAAGCCAGTTGGGCAATATTCGCTTCACAGTCGGGCAATATTGGGTGATTATAAAAATAAATGGGACAAATTCTGCCAATTTTGCGGGAAATTATGTAAATTTTGTGATGTTTGGGAAAATTTGTTTGATGTTCAGAAAAATTCTGGTATGTCCGAAAAATTTTTGGACCCCTAAAATGGTACACTGACCGAAATTTTTTGGCGACGGGGGGG